AGCTGCTTTTGGTAGAACGAAAGCGGCGAAAACCTCTGGCGAGTTGGGACACGTTTTGAAGGGGGTTGGGGACAAACATTCTATACTTGTTAAGAGGGAAAGGAAATGGACGGACAAATAAGAAAACACACCCTCCCTTCACCATATACCTTTCTGGTTGATTACCATTCCCCCCTCCATTACTTGCTTCTGTTACACTTGGTGAAATGGACTAGAAAAGGTCACAAATCATAGGACGGCTGCGACAAAGACACTCCCTCTATTCTCCCTTTATGCACAGGCCCCTAATGGGAATTCTCACCAAAAGAAACTCTAATTCCAGTTGGAATGTTTCCTCTGGGTGGGGCTGGACAAACTAGACACAGACACCAGACCCTCACTACACTCGCATTCTTGCCTCTGGCCTTTAAAGATTTTTACTATCAAATGCCTCCTATTCAAGGGTTAGAGTTACCACCCTACCAGATACTTCACACTGGAACGGGAAGGGTGAAATGGCACCAAAACACAGCTATAAAACATCCATCTGACAACTCAAATAAACCACGTTTTATCACGGAATCGGGCTGATGTTCATGAGGGCTTATTGAATCGCCGCTGATCTATCACACAGATGGGCTGCACTTCGAGCTGACGCCAGCGATCACATCATCATAGGACCCAGGAGGGCCGTCCAACTGAAACTTCTCCATCAAGATGGACCACGAGTGGCGTCAAAGCAACCAGAGAAAGATTGGCAGACCTCACTAACGCATTAATGCCCGTAACGCGTTAGAGAAATAAGCTACGCCGTGCTAATAATGTACACCAGATGTACGTCCTAACATTTAGAGGAAACGTACAAGTGTGAGGCCATCAGGTCATTGATAATTTATATGGAAAATAATTCCACTGCGACAGCAATATAATAAGAATTGATTGCAACCGGCTGGGTTGTATCGCTAGCATGGGGGTGACATGTTGTCAAGGTGACGCTGACAGTTAAATAATGCAACAGTTCGACAAACAAGATTGTCCCCCGAACCCAAGGACAAATTTCCTGTTGTTCGTTTAGAAACACGCTTTTGGGGGAAGGGAGAACATCAAGAGTGTGCAATCTAAAGCACTGCTGTCTTTTTGTTTATCCATACACATCACTTTTACCATAGTAACCCCAAGGAAGACAATGTATCCCAGTCCATGTTGGGTAGCGAAAATGCAATTGGAAGCTTCAAAGTAAGACTTGGAGTGAATATTTCGGCCCCTAAAATAATAAACAGGTACTTGGTTAAAAGATTTTGCTAATTGCTGCCATATATTTCTCCTGACAAACGCAGAATCAAAGTAGCAGGGGTGTTTCTATTGACCCGATGCCTTTGATATGGTCATCATACTCACCAAATGGGAGGCCGTAACTCAAGGCACATGCGCGCTCCGACGTCAACTGAGCCTGATTAAAACTCCATTAATCACCCAAGATTACCATGCCGAGCTCCCTAAAAGGGGCATTGTGTCAGCTACCGCTAAAAACGCTAGGTTTAAAGGGCGCCGAGCTATCTGGACTAGCCTCAGCCATGTGTTCAATGAAAAGTTTAATGGCAGCCATTTGACCCCCTCACTGACTTGGAGATGATTTATTGAATTCATTGCTAATAAACCTGAAAAACAAATCAGCAACAACAAAACACAGGAAGTAGAAATTACGATAGTAACATCCATGAACTTCCCTAAAAAACCTGCAAAGTCCTTCCCCTTGAAAATATTAAACAAAGCTGGCGTGAACTTCCTTTATCTACAAACTGCCAATTAACTCCCCCGTTTGCTAAGATTATGAGTAAACGTTACGGCCAACTTTACACCTGACTACTGCGCTTTTATTAAAGGTGTTTACTGATTGACTAAGGCTTATCCATTTAAGTGTGAAAAGCTTCAAAAAGACAACCCCCACCCTCATTTAAAAATGCCATTTGTGGCATCTGTTCTCTTTTGTGTAGTCAGTGCCATCAAACCAGTCTCTTCACATCCCCCCCACCATGCAATCTGATACTGTTACCACAGAGAGCATCATTAAATACTAAAGGACAGAAATAAAGACGGGTGGGACCAAAAAAAAAAAAAAGAGGGTGGGGACGGGTTGAACCCCTCAAGCTCTAAAACAGGTCTTATTAAATAAGTGTTTTGCTCTTTTTTTCGTGTGCATTAACATTTGACCAAAATACTAATGTCGGGGTCATCTCAAAAACGTATGGATCAAAAAAGAATTTATACTTTATTATTAGAATATATACTTAAAAGTACATTAAACTTAAAGAGACAATGGACACATGTAGGATCAACAATTATTTTTTAGGACAATTAGGCACATTTCACCCCCTAATTCTCATAACCGTGATGCATTTGACATTTCACTTTGACTATTTCCATTAGTTTTATTGCTGATTCTCATTACCACAATGCAGTATTTTTCAAAAAAGTTTCATTAGCATAAATTAAGGGCGATATAACAAATATTACCATCATTTATAAATGTTTTAATTTAATATTAAATTATAAAAATATTAAATTCTTTACATCACGGTAATGAAAATACAAAAACAAGTTTTCTTTATGCATTACAGTAATGAGAATTTAGGGAGAACTGCTTAATTTGTATAGAAATAAAGTAATAATGCAGAAACTCTTAATGGTTGTTAAAAGAGCCTTTATATTAAAGAAAAAAAAAGAAATTCCTAGATGCTAACTTTTGATTTTGGAGTGACCTGGATCTTTTCTTGACAGATTTCTTTGTGAAAACCCCACCCTTAAAAATGCACTAAACATGAAGTGACTCTATAAAGCTCATTCACTAAACCCTTCCCTCTTAGTAATGAGGTATAAGTCCAACCATCAGCCTTTTCAGGGCACTGAATCTCCTATTGTTTCCTATGCACGTGGACAAGCCTATATTTGAAAAGCAGTATACAAGCCCTCAGACCACTACCCTCTATAAATACATATATAATGACATGGGTGTGTGATGAAAACATCACAGACCTGCCTGTCAACACACAACCTTCCCAAACATCACCATAGTTTTACCAACTTGTGCTTGTTGTTACTGATGTACCGCTTTGAACGTGCTTGATGTCAGTAACTGTCAATAAAACCATGTTGGATGTTTAGCGTAAAAACACACAGTCATAACATCAAAGATAGCAACACTTACAGAATTAAAATGGATGTACTACTACTAAATGCTGCTTTGGGGATTTCGATATATATACATATATATGTGTTGTTCAACGTAGTATAATAAAGAAGGGCAAATGGGCTTTGATTGAAAGCATGCACATATCAAGGGCTCAAGAAGCCATAAGAGTGAGCGTCTGAAATTAGAGCAATCCATTTTTCCCTGATTGATCGATCACTCAAGCGCAGCTGAGCAAACAAAGAGCTCAGACCTGAGGCCACTAAAATGGATGACAGCACTACAGGGAAATGTCTCACTCCATATTAAACCCACCCAGACAGTCTTCTGAAAGACGGCTTCATCCTATCATGATTGACGCGAGTGCTTTAAAAGCATGAAATTGTGTTTACGAAAATGACATCACACAAACATGAAAATGCCAAAGTCGTTTCATGCAGTTCCAAACCTGTATGACTTACTTTCTTCTGTGGAACACAAAAGGATATTTTGAAGAATGTCCAATGTCCAACTTTGGACCCCATTGACTTTCATTGTATGGGGAAAAATACATTTCTCAAAAAACCCTCTTATGTGTTCATCATAGGTTTGGAACAACATGAGGGTGAGTAAACGATGTCCACATTTTTTAAATTTCTGATGAATAATCTCTTTAAATGCACGTATTTAAGTGTCCCACATGCAATTGCTCAGTTTAGAAGATCTAAACCCTGCAAAATCTACACGTGTTAACTGTCAGGACGGCTCTCCCATAGCATGCGCCTCTAACATTCTCCCTCTTGTATTGCAACTTGACAGCGTGCCTCTCTGGTCACAGGGCAAGACAGCATTACTGCCAAGAGCGTGTTCTCAAGAAACACTAGCGGCAGGGGGAATGACAGAGGAAAGTGAGACGGCAAGAAGTGAGAGAGAAAGAAAGCGCTCTCCTGTTGGGCCGCCTGCCAGAACGCCACACTTCTGGGATATCCAGGGACAAAAGCCTTATGTCAGGACAGAATTCCCTAAAGACTCGGGCTGAACAAACGGAGAAATTAACTGACAGAGTCGAAGGACCATGTCTGAGGGTACAGCTTGGCTCACAGCAGGACACTATTGACGTTAAGGGAAGAGGAAGACAATAGCTTCAGAAAGAAGGAGAATGCAACAAGAGGAGAAAAAAAAAGAGGGACCATTTGTTTTGTACACTTTTGGGAGAATGCATGTTCATTTTGCGTTCAAGAAAACTGGAATTGGAATTTAATCTCTTAATTCTCATTACCATAATGTATTTGATATTTTCTTTTAATATTTCCAACGATGATTCCCATTATCGCTACTTTGTAATTTATTTTTTACTTAAATTTGATTCAAATTAGCATAAATTAAGGGCAAAGTACAATTGTTTATAACTTGATTTAATAACATTATGGCAATACAAATTCAGAAAGACTTTTTTATAACAAACATAAAATGTATTTCTTCTGACATTTTCTTGACAGATTTTGTGAAAATCTCCCCCCTAAATTACACTCAACAGTGTTGTATGAAGTTGAATGACGCTATAATCTTTCACTAAACCCTTACCTCCAACAACCAAATTCTTTTGTACACTTTTAGAACACAAATTCCTGATGTGCTCAAGAAAACTTGATTAAATGTCCTATTCAGAGCCGAAAACATTTCAGTTGATTTGAGTGGTTTCACAGTTTTTGAACATGTACAGACTCTTTACAATTCATCTTATGATCTGACACTCCAAAAATCATGAAAATATGCTGTATTGCTGCTTTTGTAGGTCAATGGTGATAGAGTGGGAGAGAACACAATGACAAGAGATAGAAATATAAACGCCAACCTGTTTGAATGAGTCATCGAGGCTCCAATCACCCAGTCCGTTTGGTGTGTTGAACGATTGTTGGTCATTGAGGGAGTCTTCGGGTTCATCTTTCACCTTAGTGGTTGGTGACAGGGCACGTTTTTTAGCAGCGGAGGGCGAGGCGGCGTAGACGGCGTACGGATATGGAGGGACTCCAACAGCCGCTTGCTGAAGAGCAAGGCTTTGCCTCCTGAGGAACTCCAAGCCTTCGCTTTCCTCTTCTTCACTGCCGTCTTCTCCATCCATCATCATCTCATCATCGTCATCTTCGTCCCCCTCGTCCCCCTCGGAGCCTCTTCCCCTGTCCATCTCATCAGTGGCGTCCTCTTCGTGTACTAGGTCAGAGCTGGTTTTCATGGGCCCCCTGGCAGCTGGAGGCCCCTGGCCGCCTTTCAGCGCGCTGTCTCTAGAGTTTTTGCTGTAAAAATCAGGGGTTAATGGGGTGCCCTGGGCCCTAGCGGAGGCCATGATGGCTTGCTGTGCAGCCAGCTGTTGGGCGTAGAGAATGTGGGCTTCCCTGAATTGTCTCTCCTTGCGCTCCATCTCCAGTTTAGCTTGTTGTTGTCTCTGGAGCTGCTCCATAACTGCCTCCAGTTTGACACCAGCCGCACTTCCGAAAGCAGCCTGGGAAAATGCACTAGCCAGACTGCTGTCTTGAGACAAGCTGGGCTGGATTGTGGACAGAAGAAAATAAGAAAATGCATTCATTCTGTACACAAATTCTGTAAGTCAATTTCTTGTCTTTTTTTTTCACCCGAAAAAAATAAATAATAATAATTATATATATATATATATATATATATATATATATATATATATATATATATATATATATATATATATATAGAAAAAACTATACAAAAGATTTCTATTTTAAACAAATGCTTACATTTTTTATTCATCAAAGAATCCTGAAAAAAGTATCACAGATTGTAAAGAAAAATTAAGCAGCACAACTGTTTCCAACATTTATAATAAATCAGCATATTAGAACGATTTCTGACAAATCATGAGACACTGAAGACTGGAGTAATGGCTGATGAAAATTCAGCTTTGCATCACAGAAATAAATTATATTTGAAAGTATATTCAAATAGAATACCATTATTTTAAATTGTAATAATATTTCACAATATTATTGTTTTTTCTGTATTTTTTTTATCAAATAAATGCAGGATTGATGAGCATAAGAGGCTTCTTTCAAAAACATTAAAAATAGTTGTTTCCCAACTTTTGACTGGTACTGTAATTCATATTAAAAATTTAACTTAAATATATAATAATAAACAACTGAATAACTCACTTTCAAACGTTCAGTCACGAAACACAACTAATTTGTAAACAATCACTTTTTTTTTTTTTTTTTTTTGCAACTTCAATTCTTTTAAATAATTTACATTATTTGCTTAATAGAAACGCATTAGAGTTCGAAGTACGGACAAATAAATACGCACAAAGAGTGGCTAATAAATTCGATTCACGAAAATGCGTAAACAAATAAGCACAAACGACAATAATAAGGAATTCAAATTCATTTAATTTAAATGGAACAAATACGTGTAAGCACATCTTCACAACGAGCGTGGCCCGGTCAGCCTTCGAAATTTCGAATTAATGTTTACAAGAATTTTAACTAGTGTTAACAGTATTCATGTCACAAAAGGATTAAAGTCGCATTCCGCAGCTCGCTTATTGCCCAGTAGGCCAACCTACCTTTGACCCCCCCCCCCCCAATACAGGCGACCAGTCTGGATTGTGGAACGACCGGATGTCCGGCCAAAACGGCGTCTCGCTTTACACTTTGTTAAATAATTAATATTTAGCCAATGCCAGTCGAGTTATGGTTTTACTTTATAACTAATTAAAGCATAGTTTGATAAGTGCGCGCAGTTACAGAAGATATTCAGAGCACAGTCGAATCATGGCTGCCAAAAAGTATGGCGCTCTTCCAAAAACAATTAAGCTATTAAAAGAGAGAACGAACACACGACGCAACAAAGTATCGCGTTCTAATGGAAACAAACGGAGATGTTTTTGACGAATTCGAATTCGGCAGCGCGCGAACTGAAACTTTAAAAACAAATAAACAGCACGAGTAGTATCATCAAAAAAAAATCCTGATATCATGACGTGTACAATGTGGATTTTCGCTACATTTAATAGCTTGATCACTCACACGAAGGTAATTTAAATACATGTTGATTCATTGCGACTATGTTAGAAAATCTTAAATGTATACATGATACAATATTTAATTCGCTCGAGATCGGCTGATGAAATATTACAGTAGCTTATCAATACATTCAACAGGGCTCTGTGCCAACAGGACGGAACTCACCACTTGCGCTTTGCTGCTACTGGAATTGTCCACCATCACTCTTTTCCTAGATAAACCACTGTGCGTGTTTTGCTCAGCGCACCGAGTACGTGTGCATCCACCCGGACGTTTAATATCCCCTCTGATAAAACAGTAATAAACCTCACGGTGTTCGCAGAGGGAGGGAAAAAAACACTCGACACTGGGGCCAGCCAAAGGGGAAACGCCTGACCTCACCTCCCGAACTGCGCGCTCAGGGACTCCCACAGTCCCCTCGACTTTTCCTCCTCCAGCCGGAGCCAATCCCCCCGCACATTCACGCACATTTAAATCCCGCCCCACTGGCTCGTGCAACAAGTTACTACGTTCTTACGTTTCCCCTATGCAAGCAGCTAAGTAAAATATTTATAGCACAAATACCGATAGGACTTAACATACACTTACGTGGCTATGGATCTAATATTAGGCTGTCATTTTTCATTTTAGACTCGAAATTCTGACCCCAGCTTAGCTACGTATGAGCATACTATTTATTGAAGACCAAAATTTAAAAATTCTCCGATGGAAAAGTACGTTTTTACCCAAAGGCTTTTAAAGTATAGGCTACACCACAACTTTTGATTGTAATTTTTGACTTTTTGATATATGATTTAGGTTGAAAGCTTATCTACTGCGCCCTCTACTGATACAAAACTGCTATAACGTTTTCTATATAATTATAGTCTATGGTGGTGGTGACAAGCAGAAAAACAAAAACTGTTTACTATGCACCTTATTTTCAACGTAAGGGCTGGCGCGTTCATGTTTACCTCGAATGTGCGAGGCTTCCGGTATCGGCCGCTTCCTGTTATTTTAGGTACGAATTGTTCGTTATGCTGATTGTTGTTGGAAACTGATACTTTTTTAATCATATTTTTATAAATGTATTATCATATGATATTCATAAACACTGGTTTGTAGCGCAAATTGTTTCACCGTTTACTGCGCTTAAGTCTTGCACATTCACCGGAAATAAGTTGCGTTCATTAAATTTCTAAATTCAGTAACATTTAACAGACTTGTGGATTGATTTTTCACTTTTGTGATTGATTATAACGATTTAAAGACACAAACAAACAAAACTACATTTAAAGGGATAGTTCACCCAAAAACGGAAATTCTGTCATTTACTTACCCTCATGTCGGTCCAAACCTGTATGAGTTTCTGTTATGTGGAACATAAAAGATGATATTTTGAAGAATGTTTATAACCAAACAGTTGATGGCTCCATTGACTTCCATAGTATTTTTTCCACTGTTTGGTTTCTGACGCTCTTTAAAATGTCTTTTGTGTTCAGAATAAGAAAGAAATTCATACAGGTTTGGAACAACTTGAGGGTGAGTAAAAGACTATTTTCATTTTTGGGCGAACTGTCCCTTTAAGTTAACAGTTAAAACAGCAAGTCTGGAGCAAAGTCTGAGGAATCAAATAAAAACACAACAAGATTGAATAAAGATAAATCTCCCTTTATTAGGTCCATCAATATTTTACAAGCAAAAGAACATAATAAAGGCCAATTAAATATAACACAAACACCATGACACGAGGCAAAGACTTCAAGTACAGTGGTCTACTCGGTCCAGACAAGAGCAGCAGTCCTCTGGGAGACTGTAGGTGAAAAGGAAAGATACAATGGACATGTTCAATCATATCAATAAGGAAACACCTTTCACTTTCTTAGAGGAACAATACATCCTGCATGCTAATACTCACCACAATCGCAGACTTCTATGCTTTGTCAAGGCCAAGTTCCTCGGGTGTAGGGATACCAAGCTCACTGAGGGTAGGCAGCAGCTCTTGGATAACATAGGGGTAGATCTCTTTGTGTGGGCCAGATTTGTCCTGTGTAAAAGAAAAAGTAATGAATACGAGTACAATTTTACTTAAATTTGTAAAAAATAATTTTTTGTATTCATTTTCAGAAAAATCACGTTAAACAGCTTCAAGAGATGAAGTGAATAATGTCACTGTGGTGTATTTTGCGGTTGTTCAGAGAGATTGAATGACCTTGACTGCCTCGAGAATGCGGATGGCACTGGCTAAATCGTCGAGCCTCCGACAGGCTTTCAGGGCTGCCTCCAGGATCTTTGGCTCAGGTACCAAGTCATAACCGATTAAAGTGTTCATTCCTGAAGCAAAAAAAGAAAGAAAAGAAGACAGACATTTACTCCACAGACACCAGATGAGTGTCATTCTGTTGACATTCTCTTCCATACAACTTACACTTCCTTGTTCCAAAGATTCTATAGGTTAAAGATAAATAGACGGTCATAAATGTTTTATATCAACGGATCAAACTAAACCAGCTTTACAGGTTAGTAAACAGTAAAAAAAAAAAAAACAGGCTGTAACAATATAAATCCATTTGTTATGTTTAATTATGGAAACCTACTTGTATTGCCTAATGGTGTATTATAGTTACAGGGTGATACAGCATTTATTCAAAACAGACATCTTTTTAAACAATATAAATCTTTACTATCACTTTTTATCAATTTAACACATCCTTGCTGAATAAAAGTATTAATTTCTTTTAAAAAAAAAGACTGACCCCAAATGGTTGAATGGTAGTGCATATTGTTACAAAATACTTCCATTTTAAATAAATGCTGTTCTTTTTATTTATCAAATAATAGTGAAAAAAGCATCACAGGTTATAAAAAATATTAAGCAGCACAACTGTTTCCAACATTGATAATAAATACAGCATATCATAATGATTTCTGAAGGATCATGTGACACTGAAGTCTGGAGTAATGATGCTGAAAATTCAGCTTTGCATCACTGGAATAAATTTTGTTTTAAAGTATATTCAAACAGAAAAACATTTAAAATTTTAAATAATATTTCACAATATTACTATTTTTTCTGTGTTTTTGATTAAATAAATGCAGGCTTGATGACCATAAGAGACTTTTCAAAAACAGTAATGTTTCCAAACCTTTGATCGGTACTGTCCGTGTGTGTGTGTGTGTGTATGTATATATATATTGGGAGCAAGCATCAAAAACATTTCAGGGACATAACTTGCTACGGAATCCACTTTCTAAAATACGGCAATCATAAAGAGCAGCATTCAAATAAAAGAGGATTTTAGATTGAACGTAAGGCCATTAAAAAACATTTATGAGAGTAAATGCTTGCTTTACAAGCTCAGCAGTCGAATGCACAGCTGCTGATACAATGAGGTCAAAGCACCTCAGTCACCCACCTTTCCTCAGCTCCCAAGCATCGATGTCCGGCTTGCTGAAGTAAGTGACCCAGCGGGCATCAAACTCTTCATCGGTCTCATGTTTGCCATGGGAATAAGAACGAGCAGCTACCGAAGCTGTGAAAGTAAAATACCAGAGACGATCAGATCAAAAGAGACTTGATACACTAAATAAATTAGTTAGAGAATGACAAACATTACCGTCATGGCCAATTGTGTAGGTGTAAAAGGGCCACAATTCTCATAATAATGCGCTAATAATTTAGTCTATATATCAATGATTGCGAACAACTCTTAATAGTGCAGTGAGATTTTGCATACTGGCCTTGTTCCAGCTGGAACTGGCCCAGTTCTAGTTTGACCTACGTTACCTTGTCCGATTGGTAAGTATGATTTGAGCTAAGTCCTAACTGTTTGCTAAAGGTGGTCAGGCAATCAATCCAACTGATATACTACAAATGAGATGCAAAGTAGATGTTGTATGATGTGGTGTATATTCTGATGATACTATACTTGCATCTATTATGATCTGAGGTGTGGGTTCGCATAGAGGTCAGTGTATTGTAGCTAATGGAAAGTGCGGTTTGCACTGACGCAAGGTGAATTTATGCGTAACGCATCTTCATTTTAAGATGCAAGTCTTGCACGTAGCCATTGACTATATGATTAAACTGCTACAAAGCATACAAAAAAGTATAAACCACACAGCCTGTTTGCTATGTTTAAAATGCAGAGTGATCTTTCGAACTTCAAGTATTTAGCTATTAGACTTCCTGTTTCAACGAAAGCTCAGAATAATGTGTCAATCTGGAAAGCTTTCGGTTTGAGTGTGGCGTTTCCTCCGCGCGCTGGGCCGAAGCCTCACTCTAGTCGGTCATTACAAGGACACTGTGAGAAAACATCTACAGGACTTAATAAATGACAGGGAAAAACACGATTATGAAATGGAAATGCTTTAATGAAAGCGATAAATGAGCGCGTGATAATAACCTCTAAAAGTTATAACCTAAGTTTCAAGAAAGGCACCGGTGCGGCTTCGGTTAGCTCGTATGCTAAGCTACGTTCAAGGTGTTTCAGTTAACTCTGCCTCTTATTGTAGTTTTTTCAATTAAAGATTTCATACGTAATACGGCAAAATCTGTATTTACCTGTATATTGTGGCCGTGCCCTTGTTAAACTCCGAGCACCGGACACTGAGACTCGAAGGGCGGCTCTGAACATTGTGCGGATCACCGGGCTCAAGCGCTGCTCGAACTTGAAGAACGATACACGGCACGGGCTCGCGCTGCTGAGGCTACTTCAGATAGCCGACCTGCTAAACACGCGACTGTCGCGTCACTGCGCATGCGCACTTCTTTGGCAATAAAGCAGTGTATGGACTCTGTTCATGGTAGTGAGGGGGTTTGCTAAAGAGGATTATAAAAAAGCATGAAGGACAAAAGATACATTTCTATACTGTGTACAATCACCACGCCTCTCTATGAGCTGTATCCAGTATGAACACAGTAATAAATGTAAACTCATGTCTTGTGCAGTAAGCAATGTTTGATTCAATATATTTATATTATTTTGTTATTTAATATGTAATATGTTATATATATGTTATATTCATATTTGAATTGATATTTAATAATGGATAACACACAAAAAACAGCTAAATTAAACAAAAACTTACAGCAACTACAATATTCTGCATTGATTGCATATATATATATATAAGCAATTTTTCATTAGGCCTACACATTTATAATTTAAATGATATTATATGCCGTCATTAGTAAACTTTTTTGTGCTATATTATGGCATTACCGGTATTATCAAACATAGTTAAGTTTCATTACATTTATAGATTTTACAATTGTAGCGTGATTATAATGTTATAGTCCTACTGAAAAGTTAGTCTTTGGTGAAAAAAAAGTATTTTATTAAGTTAAAAGTAAAACATACATATTTTTTTAGCTTCTAATCCCTAAATGTGAATTTCATACAGCTACAATACAGCAACAAGCATCTGTTTCCAAAATAGTTGTTCTCATCAGCAGAGGGCAGTATTACATTT